CTGTTTCTATCTCTGAGATGGGTTTGTTTGGGACGAAGAAGATTGGTAAGTACGAGATAGGAAGAACAATCGGAGAAGGGAATTTCGCAAAAGTGAAACTTGGTTACGACACGACCAATGGTACTTACGTAGCAGTCAAGATCATAGACAAGGCTCTGGTTATTCAAAAGGGTTTAGAGTCTCAAGTGAAGAGAGAGATACGAACTATGAAGCTTCTTAACCATCCCAACATAGTACAGATACACGAGGTATTGTGTCTGTCTTCCCAAAACTCCAAAATTATAATCTTGTTTCTTTTGATTTCTGATGTGATGAATTTGGTTTAACTTTTCAGGTGATTGGGACAAAGACAAAGATCTGTATTGTAATGGAATATGTTGCAGGTGGTCAGCTTTCAGACAAACTTGGAAGACATAAGATTAAAGAATCAGATGCAAGAAAGCTTTTTCAACAATTGATTGATGCTGTTGATTATTGTCATAACAGAGGAGTTTTTCACAGAGATCTTAAGGTTAGAGAAGTTAATTTTGTGCAGACTCTCTGTTTTTATAAGTAACTTTTGTTGATAATCTGATTTTGCAGCCACAAAACTTGCTATTAGATTCAAAGGGTAACCTCAAAGTTTCTGACTTTGGACTAAGTGCAGTTCATAAAGTAACATTTTCTAACTCTAATCATATAAATTTCTATTTTTAACGAAATGTTTGTGTTTGAAACAATCAAATTCTAATAAGAGTTTGGTTTATTTAATTCGTAGTCAGGGGATATGCTCTCTACAGCTTGTGGCTCTCCATGTTATATAGCACCAGAGGTACCATTAACACTTTCTAACAATAATTACATTTCATACTCTGAATATGCAAAAACTGATTTTGGTTATTGAATAAAACAGCTGATTATGAACAAAGGTTACTCAGGAGCAGCAGTGGATGTATGGTCTTGTGGAGTGATTCTATTTGAATTGCTTGCTGGTTATCCTCCGTTCGATGATCATACGCTTGTGGTTTTGTATAAGAAGATACTAAGAGCAGATTACACGTTCCCGATTGGATTCACTGGAGAGCAAAAGAGGCTAATCTTTAACATTCTTGACCCAAATCCTCAAAGGGTATAAACACAAGAAATAGTCTTTGCATATATATACATGCATCATTGCCAATCTGTTTTAGTAACAATTTTTGAAAAACATTTGGATGCAGCGTATGACATTAGCTGAGATAATAATCCAAGATTCTTGGTTTAAGATAGGTTATGCACCGGCTTATCACGAAGTTTCAGACTCAGTCAAGGCAAGTTGATTCCATTAGATGTTTGAAACATTAATAGCTCTGAGATTTATGTACTCCTCAAAGCTATAACTTGTTATCAAATGGATCTTGCAGGATAATGTCGCGGAGATAAATGCAGCAACCGTGTCTTCAAATTTCATAAATGCTTTCCAGATAATAGCAATGTCTAGTGATCTAGATTTGTCGGGTCTTTTCGAAGAACAGGTAAAAGATTTAAAAACTTGTTTTGGTTAAATCTTTAAAACTCATCTAATAATAACAAAGGAGATATTAAAGCTTGAGGCTTTTCCCTATATCTTCAGGATGATAAGATATATAAAACAAGAATTGGGTCCAAGAACACAGCACAAGAAACCATCAAGAAGATTGAAGCTGCAGCAACAGATGTTAGTTTATCTGTTGAAAGAATAAAGCACTTCAAGGTAAAACTATTAAGTTAGTTACTGCAAATTCCTATATAGATCATCAAGACTAGTTAAGGATC